CAGGCAGGGAGCAGGCCGCTAGTGCCAGAGCGAGCCAGGCTTGCTTCTCCTGTCTGCGCAGCCAGCGCGGCAGCCGTCAGCCCCTTGTCTCGCTCCCCCTGCCTCACAGAGCCGGTGCTTAGCTGGGTGCTAAACAAACAGACCAATATTTCATTGCATGGAGACAGCAGGTACTAAGCTAAATGGGATGTGCTGATCTCACATCTGCTGCCTTAGTGCATTTACATGCTGTTTTCTTAATTTTTTTTTTTTTTTGGTAATGACTAATGAGGGCTGCCTGGGGGTCTTATCCCCCTTTGCTAACTGATTTCAGTCAGTCAGGTCCCTCTGAGAAGCACATAACAGCTGTCGTCTGGTTTAGGGAAGGGAGGAGAGCAAACATTGGATGTGTTTTCCCCCCACCCTTCCCCTTGGGTTTTTAGTTTGGAGTGGCAGATGTAAGGCAGGGGCCGGTGCTGGTGGGGAGAGTTGCTGTGCTTAGGAAAGTGGCTGCAGGTTATTTGCACATCAAAAGAAGCTTTGCCTCTTACCCTCTATCGCCCTGTGTGCACAAGGTGGCTTGATTTAATTGCCCTTTCAAAGGCAGATCTGGTCTTGTCTGTGCTGAGATTTTAGGTGTGATTCAGCCCCCCATAGCCAAAAACTGGTGCAGTTGCACTGGTGTGTTAAGAAAAGATGCAAATCGACTTTCCTCTGTCTTGAAGCTTAATTGTGTCAGTTGATTAGTTTAACAGCTCTCCTGTTTGGTGGTGGTTAGCACTAGGGCAGCTGGAGAAGTGGCTGAATTCAGAGCTAGCCTAAAGCACAGATGAAGCAGGAAGCATGACTGATTGTGGAAGGAAAATCTGGAGCTATTGCTGTTTCTCTTGTATGGCATCCCATTGCTTGGTGCAAGGGAGTTGGAGCTAACTTTGCCCCTTGTGTTTAGATGCTTCGTTAGCCTTGGAACCCCGAGCTCAGCTGGTGAGCTGGCACTCACGGATGCCATCCCATTCATGTTCAGCCTGCCACAGGGGAAGCCTTAGAGGGAATTACTTTAACCCAGTACTATCAGGGCCCTCTGCTCCTTCCAAAACCTGCCTCCTCTCAGGTGCAAGAGCAATGGGGAGGACTTGCAGCTGGGACCGGGTCACCTTGGCAGCTGGATGTGTCCACAATTTGGCCACAGCTCTGCAGCCTGTGCTTTGGAGAGCACTAAGCCTTGCAGGACCCTCTTTCCTGAGATACACTGTTCAGCCTGCTTTCCTTCTTGCAGTGTGTCACACCATCTTACCACTGGGGCTGTGCCTCAGAGTCCTGCTCCTGGTGCATAACAGCCCTGCAAGGAAAGGGTAATACTCTGTAATGCTGAGTATTTAACTTCTGCTGCTGCCTGAGGCAGAGTGTGCTCTGAGCTCCACCTGCTTAGAGGACGCAGCTTTTTCTGATCGTTAGCTTCTTTTGGGTTGACCTGACAATTACAGATCTCTGCTCCCTCTAGCTCTCTCCCAGTTTCTCCTCCCTGACCCCTGCTGCTTGTGCTGTTACTAAGCTCCCTCCTCAAGTGGTGTCAGTAATTGCCAGTTAGCTCATTAAAATGAAGCTGTCCCAAGAGCCCTTGAGCCCTCCTTGAGGGGCTGTACTTCAGGGCTGCACTGTGGTCTTGCTAGGTGCCTTCCCATATCTAATCATGGGGTGAGTGGGATGTTTGCCCCAAGGAAAAGGCAACAAACAGATGAAGAGGGCTTTAAAAAGTGATTAAAAAGCCATTGGGTTTTGGTGCAAAATGAGCAAGAGTGGACTTCTCAGCTGTTTTTATGGAAGAAGCAGCCTGGTTTCCTCCGGGGGATCCCATTCTGACCCAGCCCTGCGTTGGGCTGCGAGCGGCTCCCCGCAGTGCGCTGAGCTGAGCTGCTGGACACAGCTACGCACAGCCGCGGGGCTACAGCCTCACGAGGTGCCTGGGCTCTGCTGGGAAGCAGTCCTTACAGCACGTCTGCCTCAAGGCCAGCCTTTCAGGGATGCAGCGCTGTGCTTATGAGACCTAATTCCTGCTTCTGCGTGGCGGTGGGTGAGTTCCTCTGCTTTGTTAGCTTGCCGTGTCCTTTATATTTCAGTTGTAACCTTTCTGGGACAGGGATGTTCCCTGTGATGATCCCTGTTCCTTGGGATAGCAGCTAGCCCAAGGGGCCTCCTTGTCTTTTTTGTCGTAATCCAAGTACATGCTCAGACCTAGGAAAAGTTGGAAAGGGCTTGGCCAAGCAGGCGGTCTCCTGCAGCAGGCTTCACAGCCCGGAAGGCAGCTGAGCGGATGTGACAGGTATTTTGTAATAGAAGGTGCTGTTGAGAAAAAGGAGAGATCTTGCGCGTGGTTTTCTATCTCCTTCCTCCTCAGCAGTTTCAAAGGCTCTAAAAATAAACTTCCCTTATGCCTCAGGCAGCATGAGCAAAGCCAAGACTTCCCTGGAAAGCATCGGCAGGAGCCCAGTGCCTGGTACCTGCCACCTGCTCCCTGCCACGCTTTCTGGAGGAGGGGGCTGCAAAGAAAGCCTGTGGGTGGGCTCGAGACCTTCACCCTGAGCTATGGTGGGGCCAGGCTCCTGGCAGGGAATGGGGCTGCTGAGTCAGAGTGAATTGCAGGAGTGTGATTTCCACCCACCCCCCACTCCCCTTTGAGCATTCCCCATATTTTTGCCATGTCCCTGAACTTCCTCCTTTAATAGGGCAGCCAAGGAGCTGTCTCTGAGTGGTGCTAGTGATGGATTGTCCTGTTATTTTTGGTGCTGGGAATACAGATTGCTTCACCTGTCGCTTCTTATGAAGACTGCTGAAGTCCCAATTGCCTCTAATTAAAAGGGGCAGGGGTGGGAGGGAGGGAGAGGCGGCTGGGCTGGAGGGGGCTGTGCTGTGGACAATTAGGATGCTTTGCAGATCTTCTTGCTGCCCCTCTCTGGGGCTCCTGGTTTCATTGCTAGTGTCACTTGCTGTTTAGACTTGTGAAACAGTCAGATCTGTGCAGTGCAAATAGGCTCTGGGTAGATCAGTTTGGGGGGAAAAACAGCCTGTTCGATAGTCAAAACATGTCCTCGGGCTTTTGTTAAGGCGTTTTCATTCTATCTCTTGCTCTGTAATTGTTTTTCCCGGTCCCCCAGGTTGGGAGCCCTGCCAAAGGAAGGGGAGAAGGTGGCAGGTCAGGCCCTCGAGCTCGGGGCTGGGGGAGCAGGGGTGAATGGGGTTGGGACGCAAACGAATCTGCAGAGCTGGGAAGGCGAAGCCTGTGGCATGCAGGGCTGGGACTCGGGCCAGGCGGATTATCTCCTTGTCTCTGATAGCCTGATGTATGCTTGAGGCAAGCTGCCTTTTTTCCATGCATGGGTTATCCCAGCTGCGAAGCCGAGATAATGACATTCGCCCACACCGCGAAGCGCTCACAGGCCTGGAAACAAACAGGGCCAGGTGGAACAGAGTCCCCAAAGGGGACCTTGGCTGGCACTGCGATAAACCCTTTGTGGGCTTGAAGGGTGCTGTGCCCGGGAGATGGGCTGAGGCGCTTGGGGATTGCCATGCGAGAGGCAGCCCGTTCGTTGCCTTGCCCGTGTGATGCCCAGAGCAGGGAAGAGCCATCCTGGTTTGGCAGCTTTTATTCGCTTTTGAGCGTTTTCGCTGCTGGTGACTGGCAGGTCAGGCGCTCTGCTCTGCTGGCTCCCGCTGCTGGTGGCAGATGGGGACGGGCCGCGGCATTGCCCGAGGGGCTTCCTCAAAGGCAGAGCGATGTGAATAAAGAGGTGTGTGAGGGGCAGCATCTGCCACAGGCAGCGACTGCAAGCTGGTTTGCAGAGATCAGAGACTAAAAAAGTCCATAAACGGGGTGTCCCTGGGCCGCAGTGCTTGCAATTATGGCACTAGCCAAAATCAGAGACTCCCTGCAGCAGCCAGAGCGCAGGGAGTCCCAGGGGAGACTGAAGAGAGCTCCAGGGAGGTGGCGCCAGGGTCTCGGCTCCTTTCCCATGGGCCAAATTCTTCCAGCAACAGAACTCTTGTTAGCACAGACCGAGGGGAAAGATGAAGCAGCTGGTTGAACAGCATCCTGCTTCGGTAATTCCTTGGCTTGCCGTGCAAACACGAAGGGAGTGCTGCAAAGAGAGGGCTTATCTGCCTCAGTGGGATGTGGAGTTGGTGAAGGCCTGAAATACGTATGAATGAGTCGGTATGGGAACGCAAACCTGGCGTGGGGAAGACAGGGCCCTCGTTGGTGTTTCCCATCATGATTTTCCATTTCTGTCTTTGCAAAGTCGATGGGAGCCCTAGACGTGTCTGTCTTCTGGGTGCGAAAAGAATGAAAAATCTGTTTTTCTCAGCCACAAAGCAGTGACGGTCGTACCCACACCTCCCTCAAAAGAGGGGGCAGCCGTTTGACTAAAAGACATGGGAGCAGGGCCTGTGGTCAGAGTGCCCCAGGCCCCATCGAAGCATGAACTTTTGGCACATCCCTGTTGTGTGCAGGGGAGACCTTGGTACCAACTGCCATGGAGGCTTACCATGTGGGAGGGGGCTTGGCTGACGGACTGATCGATCGCACACATGCGCGTGTCCCTTGAAATGTCACTCAAAGTGTTGTTGCAATCTCCCCACGTGTCTGTGCACCGCTGCACAATTTGCCCTTGGTTATTTTTCCTCCAGCAGCTTCTGCTTGCAGCTGTGCTGAACCAGGCAACTTGAGCAGTGCTTATGGCTGAGGGCCAGTTCCCATCCCCTGCTCTGACCTAGGCAGGTCATTTGGGCTCTGGCAGCTCTGCAGCCCCCACTGCTTGCCCCAAAGCCTGCTGACAGCCACCACTCCTGGGGCAGATCCCCCAGGGCCACAGGACACAGCCCAGCGTGTTAACAGCTATCGCCTTCGGTGCCAGTTAATGTGTTGGCCTGTGAGTTTGGTCTGCCTGCTGCAAAAGCGCAGGTGTGAGCGTGGCCACCAGCCTTCTGGTCTTAAAAGCCAAATAGCTCATATCGTTCAGAGTGAGAAGTAAGTTTTAAAAAATTTATTTATAAATAAAAACATAAAATTACCAGTAGTTTACATCAGTCACCAGAAGTAACATCCAAAAAACCTGCAGAAAAATAATTATATGTACAGACTGAACCCTGGCCTCTCCTGGAGCGGGGCAGGACAGCCATTACTCACACCAAGGAATGACACATCTGCGATGCATACGGTCAAACACAGCATTGTGCAAAGGCAGCAAGTCAATGTCTCCAGTCGATCACATTGTACAGCGCTTGTTGGTGAGGATACGGGGCTGGTGCTGTGAGGAAATCGGACGGGGTGCCCTCAAAGTCAATGGGAGTGGAGTCCGTTGGCTTCAGGGGCAAGGCAGGAACAGGGCTGGAAAGCCTGGGAAGGCCAATGCCTTGTGAGGAGCTATTAAAAAGGAGCAGTCGGGAAGAACTCTGCTCCCTTCTGTTCCTTTCACTTATTTGACGCTTAACAGCTTCCAGTAACTGTGCTCTGGCTCGAACACGGGATGCGGAGGGGGATACAAAACCGCTCAGTGAAGCTCTATGGCTTGGATGATGCAGAAAATCCCTTCTGGCCTCACAAATCAGAGCTGAGTCGGATGCGCACTGGATAGCTGTCTGCCATCCTCTTTTTGCCCTTGATCTTCTGGACCTCCTAAACTGTCCTTTCAGCAGGTTTGGGCAAAGGCTGGGACTGCTCCCCTACCCTGTAGCTTGCAGTAAAAGTGACCTGACCTAGCCCTGACATAGAGCCGTAGGGCTGAAACCTGGATTTGAGGTTTGCTTTTTTCCAGCAGACGATGGCTAAGGATGGGCAAGTGCTGTGTGCCCAGCCCGGGACGCCCAGACAGGGGTTGCTTGTGGGGTGGCATGTGGCTTGGGATTGCTCGAGGGGGAGGTACAGAAGGCACAGATTGGTTTCCAACTTTTGCATTTGTCAGGCTAGCGTGGAGTGAGGGATGCGAAATCCTTTTGCTCCGAGTCTGCTGGCTGCAGGGAGGCTGGTAGCACAAGGGCAGCCTGGCTTTGAGCCCTTGGCTGAATTTGTGGGGGGATCAGGGACAGCAACGTGACGCTCCCTCACAACCTGTGGAGAGAGGGCTTTGTGGGGTTTGGCCCAGCTTGCTAGTGGATAAATAAACATATTGCAATAAAAATACCATTGCACTGGTACAAAGTGGTCCCAGCTAGAAACCTCCACCCTGCCAAGCTCAGCTCTTGGGACATCGATTATCGCACATCAGCGGCTGACTTGCAGGGTGTTTGGCACCTGCCGGAGGTGCGTGGTGGGCGATTTCCCTCCTGGCCGCCGGCCCGTGCAGAGCAGCGAGGGGGCTGGGAAAGGGGCTGCTCCTGGGCCCCTCAGCAAGCGCACACTCCTCTGAAGCCTGCTGCTGCAGTGGAGCCTTTTCTTTCGCTTGCTGAAGGCAGGAAAGAGCTAGGGTAGAAAACAAAATGAGAGCATTTTCTCTTACCAGCTCCCGTCAACTGCTGCAGCAGGAACCTGCAGACTTAATGGCATCGGAGGAAATAAGGCAGTCAGAGTTTGAAGGGGGGAGAGAGCGGGAGGGAGTCAGTCACAGCAGAAAAAGAGAGAGCATGTCGGGTCATTTCCTTCTGCCTGTGCATTGGGCCAAGTCCCTCCTTGGGGTAAATAAAATTGATTTCACTCTTGATTCTTCAGGGCTGGCTGCAGTTTGGAAATTTCCGTTAATCCTTAAATCCAGTTACCAGTTCAGCAGCTGGGGAATAGGGATATTAAGTCCTTGTCCTTCAGAGATGGGAGCAATGGCTCGCCATGGATATGTTTTACAGTGCAAGTTAGGAGAAGATCCCTGGCCTTGCAGGAGGGAAGTGCTGGTGCAGCTCTAGGTGAGGGATAGGAAACCTGCTTAGATTCAACACGGACCACGATCGTTAATGAAAGGCAGTTACGACATGGATATTTGCAGGAACAAGGTAGGAGCTCACTGCCAGATGCTCGCTCAGCCTGGGGCAGTTACTGTTGTGATAACTGAAAGTGAAAAGATCCATATTTTTGGTTGCTGCAACTCTGTAGAGATAAGGAGAAGGTGGGAAGCAATTAATTTGGGATTTTCTAAAACTCTGCTGATTTCTGGCTGCTTACATTCTTGCTGTTCAACTTCAGGAAGTTGAAAGGAGTTTGTTTCCCAAGAGGCACCTTATGGAAACCCAGGCCTCTTTTAAGGTATCTTGGAGTGAGCTTTTAGAGTCACTAGTCCTTTTAGAAGATGGTGCTTTCCAGTGGTGTGCACTAGGGGGAAAAAAAAGCTGAGTCAACCCTATAAATCTAAGGTTGCTATTCCTCCTTGGTCTTGAATGAGCGTGTGCATGTGTGTGTGTGTGTGTGTGTGTGTGTGTGTGTGTGTGTAGAGTCATTCCTGAGGCACTCTAGGATAGCTGAAGGAATGAAGAAGCAGAGCAGGATTTCTTGCCTGGGTCAATGGCATGATACAAATCCTCTTGCTCCTTACGAGCTGGCTCCCTGGCCACCTGCTCTCTGGAAATCAGAATCAACTGGAGAAAGATAAATAAATTTCAGAGCAGCTTAGTGCTTTCTGCAGGTTGTGGGCCAGGGACCAGTGGTGGAAATGTGGCATTGGTTGTTTCCTCTTGAACAAGGTAGGAAGGGCTGTGGCATCCGCATTCCCAGAGCTGTGCTACTCACGGGTTCCCTTTGAGTCATTGCTCTGGCGTTCACCCTGTGGGGAGAAGATCCCTTGGGAATTTTGCATCATCTTGTTACCTGATAGGAAAGTTTGTTGCTAAAGTCCTGTTCCCTTATTGCCCCTGTCTCTGGCTTCTTAATCCTACAAATGAGCAGAAGGCATCCTGCTGAGGACGCATTGGACGCGAGGGGCAGATGCTGGGCACATCACCATTGGCACAAATTGCTTGTTCACCTCTAACACGACAGGCAGCGTAGGGCACCGTCATGGTGCAACACTGGGAGGGGAGAAGGGCTCACGAGCTGGCCAGGCAATCAGCTCAGCTAATAAATGCATGGCTCCTCTGAACTGTACAAGGTGCACCCAGCACGAACTGAGCTGCAAGGAAGTACTTCTTGCCTGGAAGAGATGCCTGTTTGCGAGGAGGAGAAGGAATGTCTGGGTCAGATCTCGGTGGCGATGATGTCTTCGTAGGGGACATCAGCACCAGGTATATCCAGCTCAATGGGCTCCTTGCCATCTTCCCCTGAGGCAAGCTGCTGGAGCATCTTCTCCAGATTCTGGTTCCTTTTGTACATGTGCAGGTAGCTCTGTTGCAGCTGCTTCTGATAATGAATCACCTTTTCTTTTTCTTCCTTCCATGTCTGCCGCTCGTGCTGGAAGCTGGAGGTCATCTGCTCGTTGTTGTCCCGCTCAGCCTTCAGCTCTGCCTTCAGCCTTTCCACCTCTCCCTGTAAGGCCTGTGCATCGTCCACCATCCCCAGGGCTGAGCTGGAGGCAGATCTGGCCCCATCCCGGCCTTCACTCAGCTGCTCCTTGAGGATGGCAAGCTCTGTTCGGAGGTCTACGATCTCTTGCTCTAGCAGGTTCACCTTCTCTCTGAGGAGTTCGGACTCATTCTTCTTGCGCTGGAGCTCATTTTCGCACACTTCCAGCTCCATGGCTTTGGTGCGCAGTGAGTCCTCCAGGTCCTGGGTTTTCATCTCCAGCCTTTCCATCTTCACCCTCACCTCTTTCAGCTGAGCTTTCAGGCTGAGGATCTCAGTGGTCTTGCTGTTAAGCTCAGTCTGGGATTCCTTCAGCTGCTGCTTCAGGAGGGAGATTTCCCCAGACTTCTGGCACACCTGCGGGGAGGGACACAGCACCTGGAGTTAGAGCTGAATCTCGGAAAAAACACACCCTGTCAACAGCAGCCAAGGCAGTAGCAAACCACTTTGCAGATCTGTCGCATCATGCAAACAAAGCCAGGGCACACTTGAGCATCTGAATGCAGAGATTCTGGCTGAGAAATTGGCTCTGGCCACAGCTTTCACACTGCCAGCTGCTGTTTATGTCCTGCATCTTATCCAAACCATTCAGAGAAGTGCTCCAGCAAAGGGGGTGATGCATGTGTGCTGCCTAGGCTCTTGGGGTGAGCTGGAAGTGACAATGTGCTCTTCTGTGGGGCCTTTCTGTGCATGAACATCCCCAGCCTAGACAGAGGTTTGCTTGTGAAATAGCCATAAGGATTTAAGAAGCTGGCACCCCTCAGCTGAGATGTGGAAATGGATTGTGTCAAGGGAGCTCTCTGTTTCAACACCCAGTACATCATCTTTGCCAAAACCAGTGCTGAAGGCTCGCGTGGTCAGATAAACTTGCTAAGCTTGTTTCACAAGCAAACGCCCAACTGCACCCTAAAACCCAGCAAAATTGCAACTGAGAGCGAAGCACGTAAATCCCATTGACTTATCCAACTGAATCCTAAAGTGTTGCTGGATACATCAGCTCACAGAGAGATTTTGGGGTATCAGCTTCCAGCCACTCTTGCTGAGGCGCCTGCAGCTGGAATTTTGGTAGGGTTCAGAAACCAGCATGAAAAGATAGCTCAGATTCATTTGAAAACATACCCTGACAGTTTGGGAAGTATCCGTTTGGGAGCAAATAAGATAGAAATACTGAAAATTATATAATAAATCCTTGAAAGGATGAAAGAGCAAAGGTAAATGTATGCCTCTAAATACATTAGACAATAGCTATACTTCTCTTTGTACAGTTGCAATGAAATTATATTTGTTTGTTTTATTCATGTGGATGAGCAGGCTCGCCTCTGAATTTTCAGTAGTTTAACTGTCTTTGTTCAATGATACCCAATCAGTAAGAATATTAAGTACAAGCATGGAGTGGAAGGTTTTACTACTCTGTAATAAATGCCCAAGACAAGTTCAAGTAGTTCCTATTTGCATATGGGAAGGCAGCTTTACTGCTCCTTTGGGACAGCCAGCCTGAAGAACCTTGCGCGAGAGGTAGGAAAGACTAAGTTATTTTAATGACTAGTTTTTTTTTTTTTTTAATGCAGTAGTTTCCTTATGATGAGAGGTGCTAAATTGCTGAGAGAGGTAGTGAGTCAGTCAGTAGTAACAACTTACAGAGCCTCCATGTGACAGACTAGAGCTCTCCCTGGTTTAAATAGCTATATCCTCTACAAGCCCGTGCTTAGTGCATGCACCTATCTGCATGCACTCCTCGGACCTTCCATGGCTAGTAGTGGATGTGGGTATAGAAATGGAGAAGAGGTGTGTAGTTTGTCTAGGGTGTGGATGCTACTACCTTGCTCCACACACACCCTTTGCTTTTGGCATTTGCAGTCTGTGAGGCTGTGCTCTGATGTGCTTCAGTGATGCTTACCTCCCACTGAGTCTCCTCCAGCGCTGGGGCAAAGCTGGTCTTCTCCTTCTCATAGGACCTCAGCTTGGTCTCTAGCAGGTTTTGCTCTTTCATGAGGTTCTCCAGCTCTTCCCGGAGCTGTTTCTTCTCCTGCTGCAGCTGGAACACCTGGAGGTGAAGGACTTGCTGTGTCCGCTGGGTTTTCTGCGAGGTTTGCTTGAGCTTGCTGTTGCATTTCTGCTTGAGGCCTTCCAGCTCTTCCTTGCAGCGCCTCTGTTTCTCTTCATAAACTTGACAGGAGTTGACTTCCTTCTCCTCAAAGCTCGACTGAAGTTCCTGCAGCTCTCCTTCCCTCTCTAGCAGCTTTTGCTCCAGCTCCTGGATGGTGGACTCATCTGTGGAGATGGGTGAACGGATGCAAGTGGCCTTCTCAGAGGCATGGTGGTGGGAGGCTTTGCTAGGGTTGATGATCTTGTTGCCCCCATCAGAGAAGGACATCGCCTTGAGACTCATCATGTTACTGTCTTGGATGACAGCACACTGGGTGATGTTGTGGGCTGAGCCCCCAAAGCGGCTGATGGGTCCCATGGGGGTGACCAGCGGGTCAAGCTGGTAGCTGCTGCTCGTGCTGTGGGTCGGGAGGCTGGACATGGAGTTCCTGCCGGAGTCGGACAGCGCGCCAGAGCACAGCACCGGCTTGAGCTCTTGGTCCTTGGCTTTGTCCAGAGGATGCAGCTGCTGGGAGATGTGACTGCCATTCTCTGGGGAGGAGTGGAGGATGGCACCGGACCGGGGCAGCACTGGTTTGAAGGCTGTCGGTCTTGCGGCAGTCTTTTCTGTGCCCTGGGGAGAAGAGAAGAGCAGGTCAGCACAGAAGACTGATGACACTTAATCTTTTCTTCCCAGTCCCTTCTGTCCCTAAGGACGTAGGCCCCAGAGTGGGGGTGGCTAGGGTCTTAGGAGAGGGGCTGGAAGCTCAGGAGGATGCTGCTACTTGGCAGCTAGAACTACTTCTCTTGGTGGAAAAAGGCATGACTGAAACTGAAAAGATATGGAGTACATTGCTGACCCAAATCCCGAAAGGCAGGGGGTGGCAGGATGCCCTCAGTGCCTGCCTGCTGTCCCTCCTCTCCCATTTCCTTGGCACCCCCTATTTTCTTTGAGCCGGCTCCTGGACCAGAAGCCAGGATAGCCCTGTCAGTGGGATCTGCACCCATGTTAAGGCAAGGATTGTCAAGATGGACACAGCCCTGTATTAATAAGCCAGCTGGCTACCAGCCTCGAATGGGCCCCTGTGCAGCTGTGCCCCAAGCAGCTGCCATGGGGCAGGGGAAAACGGGGACCTGCAGGTCTGTGGGACATGTTCTGCCCTACTAACCAGTTCCAGCTGATTGGAAAAGGGCATCCGTTTCTGAGGGGTGGGCGTCCCAAAGTCCGTGCTGCTCGTCCCGGCCTGGCTGCCCAGCTCCCCGCCGGAAAGCGATGTGTAGTCCGCCCGGTGGGAGCCGTGCGTTTTCTGGCTGACCTTGATATAAAAGAAGTCCTCGTTCTTGCTGCTTTTGGAGCTGGACTTGTGGCTGGAGTCCTGGGAGAAGCCGAAACGAAGCAGCCCGTCTGAGTACCTGTTCAGCTTTTTCAGGTGGGATGACTTGCGGAGTTTGTACTGGGAGGCTCGGCAGTGCTTGCTGTGGAAGCTGTGGCCGGAGATGAGGCTACTGACGCTCCCCATGCTGCTCCCGGGCTGGGGGCATATAGCGGAGAGAGGAGACCCTGGCTTTACTGTGCAGGGAGGTGGCCAGGGAGTGGGTAGAGATGGCTGGTGCTGCGATCATAGCAAAGATCTCCCTGCGCCCCAGAGCTGCAGTCCTGAGGGAGGCAAAGAGAGCAGGATGAGAAAAAGCAGTTTGGGAGGTATGCTAGGGGAGCGCCGTTTTGAGCCCACATTTTGGGTATCAGCAGGAGATGTGTGTTTTCTGACTGTGTGAGTGCATAAGCACGCCCCTTGCACAGGCACGTCGGTCTAGGTGAAAGCTGGCAGCAGCACGTGAGGGCGTGAGCCCTTGTGCGAAGGGCATGTGTGTGCTTCCCTGCATGTGTCCAGGGTTGGTCAGCTTGTGCCGTGGGGTGTGCGCGCGTTTGTACAGATGCACTGGTTCTCGGGTGCGTGCAGAGGGCGAAGGAGCCGCGCAGCAAGGCAGGCACCCGGCTGGCAGCCCACCGGTGCCTTTTTTCTCTCTGCAAAAGCCCTGCGTGAGGGAGGGCGGCAGACGAGGAAGCAGGCCGGCTGGCCACCCGCGCTGCCACCCTCCGTGGCACGGTTCCCGGTGGGCTGGATGCCTCCTGCCCCGCGCCTGGAGGCTCACCGGGAAAGGTGATGCCACCCCTGCCTTGGCAGCCTCTGGCCTCGGTGAGCTGGGGGAGTTCATCCCGAACACTGCGTTCTCCGCAGCAGCCCACGCTTGCTCCCCGCTTGCCCGGTTATCGCTGACGAAGGCCTCGTCTGCCAGCAAGGCTGACGCGGGCGCTGGCCCTGCCCAAGCCCACAGCCTCGTCGCCAGAGCCGGGTTGCTTCAGTGTCAGACTAGGGCGAGCACAGCTTGGCTGCTGCTTCGGGACCCTTGGCAGTGCGGATGCAGCGCCGTGCGGCGCTCGTGTTGCTAGTCCTGCAGCGCCTGGGCCTTTGCACCTCGGCAGTCGATAGGGAAAGCACCTCGAGGGTGGCTAACACGCTGAGCGCAAAGCACCCTTAGGTGCGTGCATCTTGGTGCCTGCACAAATGAGACCAGGTGGGGTTATGTGGCTACAAAGGAATCTCAGCTGTTGCCTTAATTAAAAATAAGGAGGGGAGGAAAAGGGATTGGTAGTCATCTTTATATTCTTAAGAGGGGATAGATACAAATTTCAACAAGTGCCTCTGCCTCCTGCTCGTGCTGTGCCAATGGTTCTGGTTGTCAGACTGGCAGCCACGCAAGCTGCAATCGCCTTAACCTCTCCTGCATCATCCTGTCCCTCTCTGATTTCTTTCCAATTTTCAGTGCTCCTCTTAACCTGCATGAAAAGGGAGGCTGTGAGGCTTAATTACACTTAATGTCTGTGCAGCACTTAAGAAGACGAGAGGGGTTATGTATGTGCTAAGTATTGTGATTATGGTTCAGAGGTATGCGGTGTTGTGTATTCTCTGCTATAGGGGGGGAAAAAAAAGAAACCCAGCTCCTCATGGCCTTTGCGATGCTTGGCTCCCAGTGTCAGGGTTATAATGGAGATGCACCTTCCATCTAGATAATTAAAGGCTGAGGTGGGGAGAAGGGGAAAGAGCTGCTAGTAGGCAGAAATTAGAGCATAATCAAAATGAGCTAAATCCAGATTGCACAGGAAGATGAGAGAGGGGAATTGTTTCGTGGCTGAGTCACTTTAGAAGTGTGAATAATCGGAAACATTTCTGCTCTCCACTGCATGCAAAATAGCTAAAAGCTTTCATCCTCCACAGCCTGGCTGTTGCATTGCCTGGATCTCCTCTCTGGGGTGTGCACCGCTTTGCGGGGGGTCCCGTTGTCTGAACAGGCTTCCTGCAGGCGCTGAGGGCTGCCCAGGGGTAAAAGCTCTCCCCAGGATGGGGGCAGGGCTTACGTCCTGCAGGAAAAGAGATAGGCAGGAGCACAGAGGTGGGGGGGGCTGCCTGGCACTCCTTGCCAGGGCGTCCTCCTTGCAGCTCCCCTCCACGCCGCTGCCTGGGCAGTGCTCGGGGACACCCTCCCGGGGACCATGCTTGTCCTGCCTCGGCTCCGCTCCAGCCTGGGGATCCCTTTGGGTGTTGCTGTTAAAGAGAGGCCATGCTAACCTCTGCCTTTTGCCAGCCCATCGCAGACATATCCCGTTTCCAACCTGTTCTGGAGGGTTTTGCCTGATGGACTTCTTAATTGCTCCTACCGACGGAGCCACCATCACATCCCTGCGAAGCCTTTTCTTCTGTGCCCTGAGGACCCAGATTGTTTAAATGTCAAAAAAAAGCCCAGGAAGCTGGAATATCTACTTTGATCCCTAAATCCATTTTTGAGAAATTAAGAGAAGCAAAGAACCAGGGTCTGAACTGTTGCCTGGATGCTGATATGTTAAAAGTGATCAACGACTTTGGATTCATTCATTTTTACAGGGTAAGAGGCATGATGTGCATGGAGGAGGAGGAATAGCTACAGGGAACAGGATAATTGGCACAGAAGCCTGCTCTGCGAGCATGTGTTCCCGACACCACGTTTGTGTATGTGCCTGTAAAAGAAAAAGGCAGTGTCACAGCATAAAAGCTGCCAACTATAGCTACAGCATCACAGAGACAGTATTCAACATGTGCGAGCGGGAGAGGGGAAAGCAGCCATTATATTTACATACACTTATGGCAGAGGTGTCAGGGAGGTTTGATACCTAAAACAAATAGCAGCAGAGGGTGGGCAGACCTGCCGCTGGGGGGGAGCCAGGCTCGCTGTCAGGTGGAGGGTGCGGAGCTGTGGCCAGAGCACCTTGCCAGGCAGCAGCCAGGCCCTTTATTTGGATGCTCGCTTGGTTTCTTGGGTGCCTACAGAAGACAGGAGAAATGCCGGAGGGAGCTAGCTGGGACTTTCCAGTCTCTTGGCAGGAGGCGTTTCAATCAATCCCAACCCTCCTACGCATGCCTGAGAGGGTTGGGTATACTTTTTTCTTCTTCTTCCCTCTTTTGATTTAGAAACGAACGTTTTGAAAGCTGTAGAGGAGTTGGCATTCACTGCACAGTGTTAGCAGAAAGCAAAAGGCTCTGGAGACAGCCAGACTGCTGGCCACTCGGAGCCCAGGGAAGCAAACTAAGCGTGTCCGGGCTAGCAAAGAGCTCAGGCTTGTACTCCAGCTTCAGGGAATCTCCAAAAGGAGGGACCTGGCTTGTCCCCTTCCTTGTTCAGCCTCAATAGCGCATGCTTACGTCTTCCCTGCGTCAGATCTAGTGACCGCGCGACTCCCTTGGGAGCCAGATCAGCTTGCTGAGCCAACCAAAACCTAGTCATTTTATGTACATATTTTTGGAAGGGTTTTTGCATGATTGGCAACAGCCATGGTTATGTTAGACATATTGCAAAGTGACACCCTCACTGTAAAAATGGTTGGAAAAAAAAACCCACGATGCTGAGAGTGCAGGATCTGAAAATGCGCCTTGGCAATGGTGGGTGCCCATTATCTGCATCTGCCTCTACATAGCAGGGTGCAAGCGTGCAGCAGCTGTGCGTGGAAGTGTTGGGGATGGGGTGTGCGTTGCGCATAGCTGGGTCTGTCGCGCACGCAGCACTGCTCCTGCGCTTGTGCTGCGTGCAAAGAGGGAACTTGCGCCATTGCGAGTGGGGCACGTCACCTGGATAAGTGGGTAGGGTGTCTCTGGGTGAAGATGTGGGCTGGATCCATGTGTATCTGCGGGGTATGTGTGTCTATTGTGTGTTTGTCAGTGTGTGATGGCAGTACTACTGTATCACCCCATCCCTGCACGCGCCTTTGCCCTTGAAGCCATTAACTTTTCTGAATGCTGCAAATCTCCATCTGCTCCGCTCCTGGGCCATGCCCGACTCTGTGTTAAATGTGATTACTTTAAAATGTGATTTGCCCTGTCACTCACCAATTAATGAGGACAGAAAGCCAGAACAGACACAAGCCTTTCCCTCTTGCTCTGCCGCCTCTGGCAAATTAGACCCTCAAAGCGCCCCTTGCTCTTTTGTATGTGCTAGTAATGGGGAGGGGGAATAAGATGACAGCGCAAGACCCCGCCTTGGTCGGCCCTCACTGTGCGTCTCCATGAGCCGGAGCCACAGGACCCCCGGCCTTTGTTCCCCGCCTGCGCGGGTCGGAGCAACGGGGCACACTGGGTGTTAAATGATGGATTTGAGACGTTGTGCTTGGAGGCAGGGAGTTGTGTCTGACTCTGGCTAGGTAGCCCTTCATGGGATTTCAAGGGCCTGATAACAAAATCAATTGAAGTGGAGTGGTAACAAGTCATGAGTGGGGTTTGCTTTTTGGTCCTGCTGCTCACAGCTATTTGGAGTATGCACAGCATCTAACTGCAGCATCCCCTGCCCTTGCTTTCAGGAGAATTATAAAAGGCAAGAGAAAATCATCACTGCTAAGGACAAGATCAGCCCCTGACCTGCACTGAGAGGCACAGGGATCCTGCAGGGACCACGCGGAGGACAGTCTGCTGATAAACACCTGTGCAGACGTGGCCAAACCTGGAGGATCAGGTCTGAAAGTGTGGATGGTCCTACTCTTGCTTTTGCAGAAACAGAGGGGGAAAAAATGAACGGCATCCCACATTCCTTTCCAAAATCCAGTCATGCCTACCCAGCCATTACACACAGGCGAGACAACTCGCTCCCCATCACCTCCTTTCTGAATGAGTTACAGGAATTTAATCTTATCTCCTCACAGCTCCTTGCAGCATAGTTTCTTTGAAACCTTTCCCTAAAACGCATCACCTCTTCCTTGCAAAGTTGCACAGGCATTTGCTTTCTCTCTGCTTTCGCCAGACAGATCACCTTAGTAAAAAGCCTTCATTTCTTCCCTGCTGATCCTGTTCTTCCCTCCTTGCTATGTGAAAGCTTCCTTCTCCCCTGCGCTCTCTCGCCTACTCTTTTTCCCTCTTGTGTTGTTATTCATCATTTCTGTGCAGATGCACCCACACATTTGGGTGTTTGTTGGGAGATGCACAGATTATACAGAAGCAGTACCAGCTGCCAAGAGCCTGGATCCAGGACAAGTCTCCTTCCTCTTTCCGTAGATTACTGTCAGGTGAGGTCCCCATGTTCTGCTTGATGACTTGGGTCTTTGAGCCACTAAAAATTGTGGCCCCAGGGTAAAATGTGGGCATTTCCATGGTAAATAGCTGTGCATATTCTACCCAAAGCACCTAACGTGTTTTAATGAAGAGATGGGCTGATCCAAAACTTGGACTGCAGCAATCGTGCAGCACTGAGCTGGGTTTGGAATCTGGAATCAAAACCAGGATTAGTTGGTTCTGATTTCTGGAAGAGCTCAGTCCCCACATCGCACACCCTAACAAGCTTCAGGCCAGTGAGACTGGCTGACCCTGGGCTATGTGAGCATGTGTGTGTCTGTTCAGATTTACAAGCTCAGTCTGCTCTTCCTGTGCCCAGCTGGAGACAAGGTCTTAGATACCTGCTCATTTCGGTCTCCAGAGAAATGGCAGCAATGGGGTTTGGAGAGCCCCATCAGCAGAGCCAACCTTGCCCCCACCCTGTAATCTTCACCCTAATTGCGCTAATGGGAATTAATCCAAACACCGCCCAGGCAGACGGCCATCCTCGTGGTGCTCAATTGTCCCGCGGTGCCAGTGAAGGGCCCCATTACAAGGCTTTCATTCACTCTAATTCATTGTCCCCCATTCATTCATTGACATTCATTGGGATCATTTTGATCGGGAAGCAGGGAGTGAATTGAGTAAGGGATTCACAAAGCACACACCATGTGTTCTGTCCTGATTTGCCATTAGTGAAGGGGGACACTCCAGATGAAGAATAACCAGCCTCAATTACATGTTACATCCACTCTAATAGCCCAGGAGTCCATCACACTTAATGTTATTTCAATGAACACTAAGAGAATTCACACCCACTGGCTGAAGCTTGTTAGCAGAGCCAGCAGTGGGTTTGGCAGTGATTTTGGTGGGCTTAATGCCAGTGCAGCAGTAGTAGATTGTGCTGTCTCTCTGCCAGTGTCCCCTGGCAGCTGGGCTCTTACGTGATGACCGATGATTCTACTGCAGGTCCTGGAGATGAAGGTGTAATTGCTCAAGCAGGAAAAAAAGGCAAGAAAAGGGACTCTTCATCAGTTTTGAAACCCATCACCAGCATAGAGCTCTGCCTCTTTGCATCAAACTTCTGCTGGAGAACTGCTCAGATGGGAGGTTGCTTAAACACCCCTTCTTCCTGCCAGCCCTGCTGGAAAAGCCAGAAATCAATGCCAAATTCAGCATCAGCTTTGGAAAGAGCTTTGAGGGAGCTGCATACACGTGCATCCTGCATGTCCCATCCCTCCAAGGTACTTCGAGATTGAGACACCAGCCTCAACCTGGGCCCTGCACAGATGGCCCTCCACTTCTGTCACGCTCGTTTAAGGGATCACTTGCAGCGATCTGATTGCTGTTAAAGCGACTTGCTTGGTTAGCCCTGAGGGACTGCATCCAGTGTCCTCTGTCTTACTGGGGCCTGGGGAGCTACCTCACCTACCCAGTGTCCTTAGGAGCAGGGAGCTGAGGCTGCCTAATTGTGAGGGAACAGGGCCATACTTTAGTGGTGACATGTTTTGCAGTTTCTCAAAGGTTTGGACATGAATCTGCTACAAAAGCCCCCTAATTAAAACAAGTGGCTTTAATGGGAGAGCAGGGTGAAGCTGTCAGTGTGATGATGTAGCTGGCACTGAGGCAATTGGATTAAGCTATGTTTGGGGAAGCCAGTACTAGAAAAAAGAGGAATGTCTCAAATTAACGATGAATCATATTGGCAGAGTGAGTTTTAGAGGATATCAACTCACCACCCGCTGTGCATTGCCTACTTCTTTGTTGTCTGATCCTTCCATGGGGAAACCACTGTGCTTCCCTGAGCAGGAGCCCTTGCCGATGCAGGGAGAGGATCCTGTCCCTGCCTGGGGACAATTGCACAAAGTTGACGTTAAGTCAGCAAAGTCTCATGACTTCAAATGTCTGCATTTCTGCAGAGCCTTGTGCTTTCTCACCAGCAAATGCTTACTGGACAGTTAGCCCGAGCACAAACTAATAACATAAGCAAATACGCGGGCTTAGAGAAAGTGGTGGTGTATTATTCTTTCTGTCTCCCTACTGAGAGGGACTTAGAAATGAGACAAACCAGAAACGCTTGGAGCTGGTGGCTAGAAGGCCTTAACCTCAGCTAGCAGGCATTTGTTCCCAGGAAAAGCTGGTGTTTGCCTTGGCAGCCTGCAAGGAGTTTAGAGTCTGTTAAAGCCCACAGGAAAGTCACGAGATGAGCAGAGTGACCTATTTGGATAGGGCTGGACTGGGGACTGTGTAATTGATTTTCAGGGAATCAGCAGCTGAGCCCCACTGAAGAGATGAATGAGCAGAAAAGCCAGGTCCCTGCAGTACTCCTCAACATCCCCACGGCACAGGCTGCTTTGCCTGGGCCTTGGTGTCCTCCCCATCTGGCTGGAGAGCCACATGTACTAGGGAAAGCCCTGTCTCTGGGGCTGCTGATTGCTTCATACACAGGTGGAGAGGGCTGCAGCGAGCAGCGTCCCAGCAACCTGCTCAGAGCTGTATGCTGCAAGACTGAGAAGGAGCTGATTGCCGTGCACAAGGTCACTGAGTGATGCTGCAAGAGGGGACAAAACAGCACCTGCTTAACTTGCTCCCACCTGTGAGCTTGGCCAGCAGTTAGCAACAGGATGGTGTTATTAAAATAAGGCCTCACTTCCCTCATGCAAGGAACTGGAGAAGCAAACAGTCCCTGCCTCACCTGTACAGCATGCAAGCACTGTTTGCATCGACCTCGGAGAGGCAGCACTGTTTACAAAGCCAGTCCATGTTTTCTGCCCACAGAACGAAAGGAGTGATTTCCAGTGCCGAAATGCCTCAGCTCTCCCCCACACAGCTGCAGTTATTAAATAGCTTCACAGTGCACAAATTCAAACTGCATTGTTATCAGGAGCTGGGCTCCAACAGTCCCAGAGCCTCCCACCATCCCTGTGCCTTGCCCTCAGCATGCAGGGACGCCAGGTCCATCCGACGTCAAAGAGGGGTCATTACACGTTCCCAAGAGCGCTCAGCCCTGTATAAAGCTCTGCACATGCTGGATGCAGACATAGTAACGGTAGGGCATCATGGGAATATCCCTAGACTGCTCTTTCAGTCTGATCCTCTACTTTCCCTGTTATTACAACCCCATCTTGATCCATAGCTCCTCTTTATGCTCCTTATGCCATATATTTCTGCAAATAACCCTCAGTCTTATCTGTGACATCCCTAGTTGCCCAGTTCTCAGCTCAGACCAGAGCCTAAAAACTTTCTGGCTCTGTCTTCTGAGCTTAAATGTCACCTACAAGGCTCTCCAGCTTAGGGTTACATACTGCTCTGTAAATTTCTGCATGAGTTTATGGTGAGGAAACAGTTCTCAACCTTCACTTGACCACATGTGAAGAAACCCCACCTGTGTCACCCAGAAATACCCAGATCTACTCGCAGTTTCATCCCCACTTTTGCCAGGAGCTCACATCATACAGATTTTGGAGCTCATCAGTGATTCAACACCCGAGCACTGCACCCACACAAGTCATATCAGTCATGCTCCCAGTACAAAGGAAATACTTGCATGAGCCAGAGTTAAATATTCCTGGGTTGGAGAGAAAGATCTTTTCAGCTTATTTAATTCCTAAGAGCATCTGGCTTTTCCCACTAATGAGCAACTAATACTGCAATTAAAGCCCTGCTAATTGGAAACTCAGAAATGTTCTGGTCCCTGCTTTTGTCTTTTGCAGGTTTGCTGACTCTTTGGGGATCTGGAAGGCACACCTGAATGGCAATGAGAGCTCACAGTTCCCTCTGCAACTGGAAAATAGCCACGACGTCCAGATTGTGGTGAATTCACAACCCTCCCCTAACAAGCACAATTGCTCAACGTGAAACAGCCGGGCTAGCACCGAGAGCCCTTGCTCCGAGGCACCTCACCTGGGCCACTAGCAGCAATTCAATCTCTACCAGATGCTCACAGGACTCTTCTCTGAACAGGACAAGTTTCTGGGAGAGGTTTGTGCAATACTCTGATGACAAAGAGCTGCGGATCAGCTCTCAGGGTGCTGTAGGGGAGAGGGGGGTGCACAATCCCAGCAAGGATCTTGCAGGCGTTATCAGTCATCGCTGCCCTTCCCAGCAAGGCTGGCAGGTGCAGAGTGACTGCTTCTCTCAGAGGAGGGTGAAGGGACCTCGCGTCCCTGCCACGGGAGAGCTATTTAGGGGCCTGGAACCGTCTGGGGCTGGCAGCTGGTGCCGAGGTGGGCGACAGCTGAGCGTGGCTTTCGCTTCAGATCTGCAAGGCCCCTTTTCACACATCTATTTCTGACCCTATAAAACACAATCTGCCAGGGTGTGAGCATGTGGGGGGCATCCAGAAAAGATGGTTGCACGGGTCTGGCTTGCCCAAGGCAGTAGACAGCTCAGCCTTTCTGTGTGTCCCTGCAGGTGCCTCTGAACTGTAGCTGGGAAGTCGCAGAGACACTGCCCTTTAACCTGTCTGCAGAGGAGATCTGCACTGGTGGTAATCTGAATAACTGTAGCCTGCATTAATACCTGTAGCCCTGTCAGCAGCCAAACTAGCAAGGCGTGGTGTCCTGCACACCTCTTATGCCGATTCCCTGAGGCTTAATTGAAGTGTCCAGTTAAAAATAGCAAGAGCCTCATGTAACCTGAGATGAGCCCTAAATACTTTTCCTCCCAGCTCTCTAGTTGCACTGTTAAGACACGGGGCTTTACTTGTCTTCCTTCCTCAGTCCTGCTACCTACAGCTAACACAGTAATGAGGGACAGGGAGCCCATTTCACACCAGGCTGTGACAAGATGGTAGCACCAAAGGTTTCTTCCACAAGCTAGTCATCACTAACTGCCAGGAAATACCTGATCTAAGGTTGATCTAAGGTTTTTTCCACTGCAAAATTCCCCCCAAAATATACAGAGGAGAAGTAGCCTTTTCACGTACAGTGAAAATTTAGAAGTGGAGCTGCAGGCTACCATGGAGACAGGGCTCTGTTTGCAATCTTCTCATCTTTTATTGTCTCTCCTCCCCTCCTAAGCAGCTGAAAAGCAGCCAGGAGCCACTCTGTGCAAGGCCCTACCCTTTACTGCCTCCCATCCTCTGGCTGGATGATGCTGCCCAGCCTGCCCACCCTCCCGGCTGGTAGGTAAGTGCTTGGGAGGTGCAGCTGGCTCCACTCTCTTTCTGCTGCCTGCTCCTTCAGCTCCTCTAGGCTTTTGGCACCTCCTTTGTATATCTGGGGTTCGGGAAGCAGATCCATGCTGCTTCTTTCTCAGCCCTGCCAGGCCTAGGGCCTCCATCCAGTTCATGTGCAACATGAGTGCTTGCAGAGCCTGCGGCAATTGCTGCTCTCTGCACCTACCTTCTGCTATCTCTCTGGCTTTCCTCTCTTTGATGATGGGCAGTTCAGGAAGGATATTAGCAGCCAGAGGCTGAGATGATGCTGGTTCTCCTAGAACATACTCTTAAAGGGAGAATTTGCTGTAGTAGGAGTGGAGCCCAGCATGGTGCATGAGATGGAGAGACAGGAATGAAAGTGAAGAGGGAGAGAGCAGGTGGAAAGAAAGAAAGAAAGAAAAGGATTCTAAATCATCAGCGGGAAACTGCCTGTTGCAGTAGGAAGCTTTAGCTGCTCTCCTTAAGAAACAGGAGGGAAAATAACTCTGCTCTGGACATCTAGCATAGCTGAAAACCCTGGATCTCTGTCCTTAGCAGGAGACTGTCTCAGATGAAATGTTCTGAGGCAGGAGCTAAAGATCTTTCAACAAACTAAACTTTTCCATGTCAAGGCAAGCCTCAGCATTGCAGCACCTGAGCTCCAAAATTAAGCTGTGCAATTTCTATCTGTGCTACTGTTCTTGTTTGTGATGCCACTTATCCTGTGATTTGTCTAAATGCTGGGTATTTTTGTACCCTGTGTGATGCTCAGCCAAGTGGGAGCTGAGAAAAGGCAACTTCTGCATGTTGACAAAGAGCCAATCTTGGTCCTTGCTGTGCAAAGGCATCTGCTGTGCTGCCACTGTCTCTTCCTCCTTCAACTCCCTCTCGTGCTTTCCAGCGTGTGTTACATATCCTCATCCCTGCTCTGCTCAACCAGTCTTCTATGCAGCAGCCACAGCAAGGGGGAAAAAAGGCAAATTCAGTTCTTGCCTCCTATTTGCCTCTGCCTCTTTTTTCAAATTTGGCCTGTTGTGAAAACCACACCTTTAATTCCTGGCTGCCAAATGTAGCGATTCTCTCAAAAGAGAAACGTACATCAAAGTTGCAAGTAATATTCAATTAACCTTTACACAAGATAATCCATAACTGGCTTACAGAGATGTCATTTAATTGTCTAAAAAAATAAACAAACACAGGCACTTGCATTTCAGAGAGGCAAGTGTGTTGATCAGTTCTGGCTTTTGCTGCTGTTACCACTGATGTTTTGTTAAAAGGCAATTAACGATCTAAGTGTTCCTTCCAATTTTCATGCCGAATTAGAACCTATGACAGTTTTCTTTGCTTATGCAGTATGGCAAGTGGCCAAATGTATCCCGTCTGCATTTATAAATCCTCGATAAATTTCCCTTAGAAAATTTCATTGATGGCAAATGGCCTTGTGTTATTGCAAGATGGCAAGTTAAAATGAGCCTTTCGGAGGCCTTCTCTCTCACACCAAGAGGCAGGCGAGCATCCAGCTGCAGGCTCTCGGACCTGAGCAGCGCCAGTGCCCTAAGGTGGAGAAATGCTCAGTTCTCCAAAAGCAAGTGGCTCAGAAGACGAGTATCTTTAATAATTAAAAATACTCTTATTCTAAGGCACAGCAGAGCATATACATGCATTGCTACCCTCTGCTGGAAGGAACTGGCTTTCAGAGAGGCCTTATACTGCTGATGAGGCTAATGGAGAGCTCCCTTAGCCCAGGAGGTAAACGTCTGCGTTTGAGGAAGGTCTGAACCATAGGCTGGTGTTGCCCAGAGGTCCCAGGTGAAAAGCAGCGCAGGGACAGGGCCCGCTGCCGTGGCTCCCTGGCAGTGCTGCAGCTGCAGGAGCGATCCCGGGGCTGCTTGGGCACTGGCATGTTTCCCCTCAGATTTTACCCTCTGAAACTAGGGAATGGCCATTTGTGCCCATGCTCAGGACTTCTCGGGAATAAATTTGTGCAGCCTTCCTGCTCAAAAGGGGCCTTTTAAAATGTGAGCCAAGATAAAAACCCGATAGTAACAAACAATCTGTGTAGGAAAAAGACTTTGTGACCCATGTGCCAAGTCTTTGTACGTTCCCTGCTATTTTTAACTAATCCCTAATGGCAACCATCCACTTAGGTCCTGCTCACTCCCAGCCGCATGCCTTTACCGTGGTGCTCTCCAGACCCGAAGGCTCGCGTGCTTCTTGTTTCCTCCCTGCGCCCTGGCTCTCGCTGCAGCTTTCTTTTCACTTCCACGGAGGGGCTTTCTGTGGCTGCGTGCCTAGGAGCAGTCTCCCGGAGAAAACCACAAAGACAAGCCCAAGGGCAACGTGGTAAATGTGTAATGTCACATAAATTAGGCAGGGGGTGACTTTTAAGACTTCTCAACCAGCTAACCAAAGAGAAGCACGCGGCAGAGAAAGAAATATTTATAAACACACACACAAAAGTCAACATTAAGGGGGACTAGAAAAAACACCAAGTTTCCTGTCAGTGCTAAGTTTTTTCTAAACTCTGTAGGACTGAAGCCCCATGCCTCGGTGCACAGGGCACGCGCGGTGCTGCCTGATCAAAGCACGTGTGGCTCTGTTATTGAGTAGCACCCTACCGTGATCCTTTTTACACCAGTCTGTGCTTCGAGGAGCAAATATAGCACCCGTTTCCTTTAATGGTTTCAGTGATACTATCTTTTCACACTTGTCCACGCAGTACTTTACAGCATGGGCTCTGCCGGGGAAGAGCAAGTGTCCTCCTGCGCGAGCTGGCAAGCCGGGAGCTCAGCTCACGCTGTCTGAAGTGGGGACAGGGTTTTGAATGTCCCCAGGGACAGTGCACACGCGATCCGGTCCTGGGGGAGCAGCGCTGGGAACGAATGACGGGTGATACGTGCCAGGCTCCCGGTGTGCACACTGAATGCCATGGCCAGCACGCTGCCCGGTAAGAGTGGGGGTGATCTGGGTGGCACCAGCCCTTCTGGGTTTGCTCCCAGTTGCACCGCGAGCGTCTGTCTGCCCACCTCTCTGCATGCCACAGATACCTCTCTTGAAAGCGTGCTGAGCATGACCATACTTGCTCACAGCAGAGTAAAGGCTTTCAAAGAGGGGAAAACAGGGATCTAAGGCTAACGAAATCATCAAAGCAAGGGCCGAGGGAGGCCCAAGAGGGCAGAGCAGCAGGCAGCTAGCAGAGAGTGCCTGGGTGCAACAGTCTTGGCTCTGCTGCACTACCCACAGAGCAGCTCCGGGGGGACCTAGCAAAGGGATCCTGCTGGTGTCCCTGGTGACATAAATAAATACTCCCTGTAGTGACAGGACATGAGGTTTTGTCCCCAGGGGTGCTTTCCCCTTCTTAGAGGGGGAGCTGAACAGTTGCCTTCCTGGTTCCTCCAGGTCTTTCCCCATCCATCCACTGATCCTTCCCTCCCCATGTCCTTCCCTATCTATATTTTCCACTCTGCTCATCCAGGCAGCTGAGAGCATTGCATTGAAGGCAGACTTGGATGCTCTCCTTCCAGCTCCAAAGACCCCAATAACTGTCCAGTAACGTCACCCTCCTTCCCCATGAACAGCCCTGTCTTTGCCTGGCCCTGCACTGGAGCAGAGCATCTGCCAGGGTGGAGCTTTCCCCCCCTTTCTCCAGTGTCCCCTTCACCAAAGCCAACCTGGGTGGAGGGGGTCTGTACCTCGCACCCTTGGCACAGAAAGCCTGCCTGGAAGTCCCTGAGCCCGCTTCGGGAGTTTGCAGGGGAGCTGGCTTTTCTTGAAACCTCATTTTCCTGCCTGAATCTCACATTCATTTGCCTCCCACCACTCCGCAGCGCTGCCTGCCAGGGAAGAGTGACTAAAGAGTGGGTGGAAAAGAACGACTCAGGACCAATTTAGCAGCCCGCGGCGCCGAGAGGAGGGGGTCACCCGGAGAGCAGGCGGGGCACGGGCACAGCTGGGGCTCCGAGGGCGAGGAGCTGCCACGGCT